AGAGAGAGAGAGAGAGAGAGAGAGAGAGAGAGAGAGAGAGAGGGAGAGAGAGAGAGAGACTCATTTCAATTACGAAAAAATCTGTAAGTCTGTCTATTTCTTCTCGCGACAAGATGGTAATGCCGTTCTCGGCCGAAGTAAATCTTTCTAGTAGCTGTAAACAACTATGATGTCTAACGCTGACATACCTACGAAGGAGAACCAAAACCTCATGCGAAATGAAAGTGTCCCCAAAAGTTGACAACTGCGTGACATTCACGTCGTCAACAGTGACATTTGATTCAGTTTTGGCACGAAGTAGCCAACCTCTCTCTCTTCCTCTCTCTCTCTCTCTCTCTCTCTCTCTCTCTCTCTCTCTCTCTCTTTCTCTCTCTCTCTCTCTCTCTGGCACGAACTCTCTCGTCCCCACCTATCTGCAAAGGGAAAATAAACAAATAAAAAAAAACAAATTATAGCATCTCGACAAAAACTATTCGCCGTTACTAAAAAACATAACTAATCCTTTGTGTCTTCTGCCTCTCCCTACGTGTGTGATTATGAACACAAAGTTGCGACGCCGCAAAGCGGGGAGGGGGCGAAGGGGTAGAAGCGACACGGAACACAGAGTAACAGGGTGCAGGTAAGAGAAGAGGATCAACGATGGCAGAGTCGCACAACAGTAGTAATTGGTCGGCCGCTGCGAAGGGGTCATACCATCGCACCGAAACGGGTAATGGTGTCAGGGAGGGAAAACCGTTGTTGCCATCGAGCAGCCAGAGGTCAGTACAGAGCTGCCAGGACATATTATCAGACCCATGGTGCGCGGAAATGTATGATTTACTGACTGAGGGTGCAGCAGAGTGGCCCCAGTCCTGCGGGGAACAGTCTTCCTGTTGTATGGGAAAACGGAAAGCAGGGGACAAGACAAGAGCGAGAGATGAGCAGACCGACATCACTGACGTGGTTGAATTGTTCCCTTTTACATGGAAATCTCCGCAACACGCCATACCCGTATCAAAATCCGACATTGAACGATTGTCGGACGACGGATGGCTGAACGACAATATTATTGACATTTATTTGCAGTCTATGTATGAAGAGGTTGGGCGGGGCCAGGACAGGTCTTATGTTCACGTCTGCACAACTTTCTGGCACCCTGAGGTCGTCGCCAATCAAAAATTTGAAATTGACGAAAAAAGGATGGGAGGACGCAATTAAGAAGAGACCACAGAAATTGCATCGACTGTGTAACGAACTGCGACGCGCGCCGGTCACTGTGATACCAGTGAACCGTAACAAACACTGGATTCTTCTTCTGTTGCTGAATGCGAGGTCCTTCTTGGAGGTCACTGCGGACAGCCGTATATCGGACCCTCCCACTGCTATCGTCGTTGACTCAATGAGAGAAAAAAAACGAGACGAATGGACTGCGTTACGAACACTTTTGTGGCACGAATACCTTCATGAGGCATCGAATTTGCAGGCTTTGACACCCGAAAAGGTTCATTTTTCGTGGGTGACATGCAGGGATCTGGCAGGAAGTAAACTTGTGCATGCGGAATGCCCGCAACAGAACAATCACACGGACTGTGGTGTTTATGTGTGTTGTATCGCTACCACCGTAATACAATTTCTTGGAAGAACCGCGGCAAAGGATCTGACGGCCAAGGACGTACTGGAAGTTATCAAAACTACAACGGTGAACGAAAGAACTGTTCAACAATTTCGCGAGTCGATGGTGGACCGGCTTGCTGCCTGTGCTGCAGTCACAAA